GACGTGGGTGTTTGGGAGTTTTCTGCCAAGCTCGAGTTCCCTAGCAAGGCCGAGAAGGGAGCTGGGAGAATTTTGGTTTTTTGGCCAAACATGACTTCCTGATTCTAAGAAAAAGCCACTTAAAATTCTTACAAGAAACAAGAAGGGAAAGAACGCATATGCAGGAGCACACACATCTCATACGTACATGTACAGACACACACCACACACACACCTCACAAAACCACACGCGCACTTGGGCTTCTTTGCTGTGATGTGGAGCTTACAAAACACCCTTCATGCTTAGCCTCAGTGAATCACAAACACATGGATTTAGTTTTCCCTGAGTGATACTTGGTTTCAGAAATTGAAGGCTGAGGAGAGAGGAGGACTTGGCAAAAAGCAAGTGGAGAATTGGAGGCCGTAGCTGGACCCAGATGCTGGTTTAGCCACCCCGGGTTCTTCGTGTCTCTCTCGTCTGGGGATGTGTGGAAATAAGGCTCAGTTGCCTTCCCAAGGTTGTATGCAAGCACCAGTCCCAGCAGGGCCATAACGGGCACTTCATACACACACTCAAACACACACACACACGCATGCACACACACGACAGCACCTGCTAACCCCTGCCTTGTAAATTTGCAGGTGATACTGTGTCCATCTCATGTCAGAATCTGAGTGCTATAACAGAATTCATGGGATGCTCCTCCAGCATCTCTAGCACACTCCAAGGTTCTAGTGATGCAGAAGTCGCTTGGCAAACTCTGCTCCAGCCCAAGAGGAGCAGCAAAACAGGATTCCCAAGGCAAGAGGGCAGCCTGGAAATTCTCATGACATGATGTTGAATGGAAACCAAAAAAAGCAGGAGGCATATTTATTTCCATGCCATAATGGACAGGTGCCCTCCAAGAATTTAAAGGAACAGAAAAGTATCAATGTTTTTTAAGCTAGTCGATAAATGAAAAATGAAAGGGGCCTAAAGGCAGTGCTGAGCGGTTTTCCTGGGAGGGGATGGGAAAGGAAGGCTCTGGACGGGAATAAAGAAGGGCTCACTGACGTGGACTGGCAGAGGGGCAGGCTTCGAGGTACATCAGTTGGAGCCTCAGGGGTCCTGAGTGACGGGCATGGTCATGCTTTCGCAGGTCCTGTCCATCACCATGCGCCCAGGGGTGGAGCAGGAACAGAAAGTGGCAAACCTGAACCCACTGGCTTTGCAGTTGAAAAACTAAACTGTCCCGTCGGCAAACAGGTTTAACCAAGGACGCCCACGTGGTTAAGGAAAGCTCTGGCCAGATGTTGCACACCTCTGTCCTCCTAGGTGAGGGCACTTATCTCTGAGAATAAGTAGGCTGGCATACGTAAGCTTGGTTGCCTCCTGCCAGCATCAGGATCCGCGATCTGGTCTGACCAGCTCTGGGGCCCAACACAGTCACGCTGCTGAGGAGCTAATCTGACAAGGACCACACCCTAGACCTTGCAAAATCACCACTAAGACTAAGAACAAGCACTTATGTGAAAGAAACAATGAATGCTTTAGAATTTGGGTTGTGGAATGATAGGATGATTATTTTTCTCTGTTATCTAAAATGGTTGTAGTTTGCTTACATAATTTGTAAGAGTACAAACACATCTTTGAAAGATAACTCCTAGTCATCCTGCAGATGTTAGCCATGAACCTTTCCTTGAACTCTACTCCAACCTCCCTCCCGCTGCCTGTTATTCATTTAATAAGTATTTATTGGGCACCTGCTATGTGCCAAGTGGGTAATGAGAAGGAAGGCATAAAGTTGCTTTCTGTGGTAAGGGTGCTAAGATTGTTTAGAAGAAGTCAGAAGCTGAGCCCCACCCCACCCAGCCCCACTCCAGGCACAGAGCATGAGTGGGAGTGACACAGCGACAAAGGGCAGGATTCAGTTCAGCCAGGCCCACTGCATGATGCCTATGAGCTGGTCTGCACCCGTGAGTCTGCAGGGAGGATACCCAGCATAGATTGCTAGGAGGATGAGCCAGCCAGGGAAGCCCCAGACTTCTAGAGGGGACCCCAATTATACTATCTCCCAGCCCGGGGAAGGTACTAGCTACTGGGATTCTCGGGAAGACTTCTTGATTATGGGACTGTGAGGCCATAGCTGGACAACAGGGCTGCCTTCCAGTGGACCGCAGCATATCTGCCAAAGGGGTTCAGGTGAGGGGCTGGGATGGAGTGGATTCTGGGAAAAGGAGGCCCAAGAGTTAGAAGATGTTGCAGTGTGGAAAGAGTGACTGAGCCCCAGGCCCGCCCCTGGTGTGCAAGATTCGGGGGAACGAACCCAGCACCTCCCGATTTCTCACATACCACCCTTCCTATGGAGGTGTCATGCTGCCTGGGTCTCGCCCTGTGGTGGGGCCACCCACTGCTCAGCAAGAGGAATGGTTATTCCAGGCAGGAATGCTGATTGGTTTGCTTGGATGGATGCCACTTCTGTGCTTAAAAGAGGTGCCTGTGTCCTACAATGAGACACATCAAGGGTAACCATGGGTCCATCTACCCAGTGATACCAAAAACATCCAGGTTACAGGTGCTGATGGCAGTGGATATAGTTACCTTAATAGTTACTAATGAAGGAAGAGCTAGGGAGATCTCCCAGACGAAACTCAAGGTAGGTGGTGAACACTGGCTGAGATTTAGAATTAAATGAAGAGGACGAGAGAGGCATTTGCAGAAGTGGCTTAGCTTGAGGGAAGATGTGGGGACACTAAAGCCTGCGGCTTGCCTAGGCAGGGGAAGGTGGCCAGCCCGGCTCCAGGGCCTCCTGCTGGGCTCTTCAGCTACCCAGGCAGAGGTGGAGCTCAGGGCCCAAGAAGATCAGATTTTCTTAAACCATCAGAGCACTTGAGGGGATCCGTAACTCACCCCTGTGAGAGCCCCTGGTCATTCTGTACAATAGCCCCGGGTAAGGCCTAACAAGTGACTTTGCCCAGAGCTGTGGGGGTGCGCTCTACCCTGTGAGGGTGCTCCTGGAGGGCAGGGATACCAAGCCGAGGCTAGCCAAGAGCCATGCAGGGTGGATGACAATCTGAGAACCAGTCAGGGACAGTTCAGGGATGAGAGATCTGGGGCTTGGAAATACATCATTAAACAAAGGTTTAACTCTCCCTTGATTAGAACATGTTTGAGCACTTCCTTTTCTATGGACACGGCCATTCTGCTCCAACCCAAGCTGTGTACAAACAAATGGAACGCACGAGCACACTGGCTTTTCTCAGTAATATGGACTCTGGCTCCAACTGAGAGAAAATGCTCTGATCTTGGGGAGAGACCTGGGTGTCTGAGAGTGCAGGATGGACCCTTAGGCATGGGATCAGGGGCTCAGAGCCCTGCTGGGGCGCAGCTCTAGGATGCAGGCCCCAGATGACCTGACACGACCTTTTTCTTAAACAGCTAGTACAAGTCACACAGTGAACACATGGTGACACTGGGCTGAGCTACTTGTCAGCCTGACACCCAGCTCCTCACGGGGGCTCTGCCTTTACAGTGTCCCCTGAGGACAGGCCATGGCAAAGGGGCACACAGCTGCAGGGTGGGAGTCTGTGAGTCCTGATCACTGCACTTCAGCAGTGGGGGGGACCACGGTTCCTGATGTCGCCCCCAGCCTGTGGGGACACAGCAGCGCTCAAACCAGGGACCAGGCCAGGAGAGCACAGTACACATTGCTGATGCAACAATTCATAGCTCTGGTAAGCACCTACTGTGCACCAGGCACTTGGCAAGGTGCTGACCGGCCAGAACTGAATGTCACAGGTGCTGTCCCTGACCTTACCGAGCTCGCAGTCCAGTGGAAGGTAAGGAGACAAAGCAGTGAGCTTACAGGCACAGAATAACATGCAGTGACCTGCTGTGGGGAGAGACAACTGTGCTGAGTGAGGAAAGGAAGGGGTGAGAAGGGGTGATCCAGAGGCCCTTCCCAGGAGGTGATGGAGAGTCAAGATCTAAGAAAGAGGAGGAGGAAGGGGAGTGAGATGGGGAACTGTGTTCCAGGCAGAAAGAACAGCACAGAGGTGGCCCTGAGGTGGATGGAAGAGGCAGGGCGGACTGCTGGGCCTCCCTGCACCAGGAGAAGGACTGGAAGGTTATTTTAGGTGCCACGGAAGCATCTGCAGGTAGATGAATGGCAGGGGTTTGTTTCCCGCGGCATCACTGTGGCCACTGGGTGGAGAGTGGAGGGCAGAGCGGGAACCACAGTGAGGAGAGCTTGTGGCCGTGGTGGAGTCTGCACAGATGAGAGCCCCTGGCCTGAGAGGAGGAGCGAGCTGCCCTCTCCTGAAGAGGCGGAATCAGCTCCCGTTGTTGATGACTCAGCTGCGGGGTCAGGGAAGGGAAGAACCCAGAGTACTGGAAGACAGAGCCGCCTCTCCCTGCCAGCAGCAGACAGGAGAAGGGACCATTTGCTGGGCAAAATCTCAAGATACTGAGGTTGAACCTGAAACGCTGTGAAATATCCAAGCGCAGATACCAATAAGCTCATTAGTTAATCAGCTGTGGAGCTCACAGGAGAGGCAAGTGTCATGCTAGAGCTGTGAGGTTAGGTGAGGAGAGGCCGTGGGGTCTGTGACATGCAGGGGCTGAGTGGAGGGAGAAACTGGGATGGAGGGGCAGAGACGGGCAGAGGCCTGGCAGTGGGGGAGGGCATCCCAGGAGGGGAAGAGTGGCCCACATTTAATGGCCCTCTATGGAGAGGGTTTTGGACACAGCACCTTGCAGGTCACTCGTGGCCTTGACAGACTGACCGTTTCCATGATTCAGAGGGTGTTTAAAGAAGAGCTAATACCTGGGCCTTAGGACCAGGAAAGGCTTCTTGAAGGACGTGGTGTTTCAGCTGAGCCTAGAAAGTTCAGTCCTGAGCCACCTGAATGCTGCCTGCAAGAGTGTCCCACAAAGAGCACCCAGTGCCATTAACCCATGTCTCTGGCCTGGGGACAGCGCCTCCTCCGACAAGGCAGAGGGCTCAGGGACAGAGCTCATGCCCCTCCTGTCCACCTCTCACCTGGACACCACCAGTGGCAGGATCAGCATCTTCAGCATCCTCATCAGGAGCTCCCCAGGGAACTGGAAGTAACTGATCTCCTGAAAAAAGCAGGGGCTGGGGTTACAGTGGGCAGCAGAGTCCTCAGCACTCAGGTCCTTACCCTTCAAACCCTGTCCTGTCTGGCACATGGGCACAGGGTCCAGCGAGAGAAAGCTGGCTTTCCTGCCTAACAGCTCTGTTCAAATCCTAGCAACCCCTGTCCTCTGTCTGACTAGCTGTGTGGCCTTAAGGATGCTGCATGCCATTTCTGAGTTTTCCTCACTGGAGACAGGACCATAACCACCTCACAGGGTCCCCGGGGGCCCAAATGACACAATGCACATAAGCATTAAGTGCAGCATACGGAGGAGAGAAGATGCTCAGTATTCCCTGCAGACAACAGCTCTCCTCCATCCGCCCTGTCACCCACGTCTCTGAGGCGTGCAGCTGCCCCATCCAGTAGACAGTGCGTGGTGGGAAGGGCAGGGCTGTGTGTTCCCTTCAATCCACACTGCCACGCATCACACTGGGGCCAACGAGACAAGACTCGGTCCCAGCCTTGGAAACGTTCCTGGTCTGGTTCACGTGGAGAGTGAGCCAGGTTCACACCGGGCTGTCCACTCTCTAGCCCTGCCCCTCAGACAGAAAGGGAAGAGGTGAACAGGCTGCTGAGAAGCACCCTGTATAAAGTACTTCCACTGGGCAGAGTGCTTACTTCTGCCTTCTTGAGGGCTGCTGGCCAGGCTCCAGCCTGTCCTGAGTTTTCCTGGGTCCCAAATGCTGACCTGATCAGCTGTTGCCCGATAACAAATCCCAGGAGCCGAAGTGACAACAGAAGCAGAAGGGACCACCATTTATTTTCAGATAATAAATCATTCTTTCTTTACTTGTTCTTAAACTGCTCCGTTGCTTATCTGCAAGTCTAATTTAACTGGGGGTGTTGTTTGCAAAGTTTAAATTTAATGCAACTTGCTATTTCTGGCAGTGTCCACAGGAGGACACGGGTGAGGCTGGTGATTGCACTTGGAAATATTGCCCAGGTTACCTTTCATACTTGCAAATAGTTTTTAAAACCAGTGCCAAATATAATGATTTATTAGTGTCCTGAGGCACTGAAAAGCCCCAAATTATAGAATTGCAGTGCTGCCAAGGGAGTTTTAAAGACTTCCTTATCTAGCATTTTGGAGACCAGGAAGCTGAGCCAGGAGCGGAAGGTGAGCCGCCCACCTAGCACAGCGCAGGGTGGAGTCAGGCTTCCGACTTCCGTTCCACCACCTGTTCCAGTGCACTAGAAATCCTGCTTTTTAAGGAAATATGTTCATCAGGCCTGCATATTTTAAGTCAGCTTTGATCTATGTGAATGTTTTTCAAATTGCGCTCTGACGATGCAAAGGCGGCTCCTTCCTCATTCTCCATCTCCATTCCCCGCCCGCCAGGATCCACATCTTCACTCCCCTCCCTCCTAAACAGCACAGCTGCCTGCTGCTTCCCGCGCTACCACTTGAAAGCTTCAATTTCCCTGCCATGATCAGGAGGGCTTATTACCTGCCCCCTTTTCTACTTCCCATTTCCCCTATGCGTATATTAATTTTTGAGTAAATAAGTATTCACAGTCATTTATATATGAAACTGAGGATTGAATACAGGGACTCACACATCCTAGACAATCCAGTCCCACCGAGCTACACTCACGCTCCAAAGCTTACAATGTTTTGATCATCAAATAATGTTCACACCCGAGACAAGTCATATACTACAACCATGCCTTGTGGCTCATATGACCTTCCTTTTTTCCTATAAAGTTAATTAACAATGTTACATTCACTTTGCATTCTGTGAACCACTCCTTAATTTCTCCCATACATTTTAATCCATGTGTTACGATGCCTGGCCACTTTCTACACACTGGAGTGTTAATTCCCTGTTACCCTCAGCCCAGCGGCTTGGCTCTCTGCTTCCTGTTCCACGTTGCTATCTGTTCTCTCAGCACAGTGGCTGTCATTCTGGGACCTGATCTTGTGTCCTGGATCCTGTTCCATTTTCTTGTTTTGGTGGAACATCTCTTTTGGTACCTTCCTGAGAAAAGGTGGATGGGAGGGAAACTTTGAGTCCCTATATGAGTAGACATGACTTTGTTTAGTCTTCTAATAAGCCACATGCACGGTGTTGGACTGTAAATAATCTCCCCTCCAATGTTGAAGGCATTGTTCCTTTGTCTCTAACTTCCAGCGTTGCTTAAGATGGTCATACCATCCTTAGGCCTGCCCCTCACGCGAGATCTGTTTTATTTCCTTGGAAGCATTTCAGGATCATTTGCTTATATTCACTTTTTCTGTACTTTTATGATGATGTGTCATGTACTGGATGGACTTCTATCTTTTTTTCTTCCTTTTCTTTCTTTTCCTTTCCTCCTTCTTTTTCCTTTTTTCTTTTTCTCTGTGCCTTTCACTGTTGAGAAACTTTCTCATATTCTTTCCAAATATTTTCTGCCCTCCAGCCTTCCTGTTAGCTGTCTTCAGAACTGTTCTGGATAGTTGTGAATGTTGCACATGCTCCTTGTTTTATATTTTCTTCTTCTGTTTTCATCATGTTGGGTTATTTTCTGAGAAACCCCTGCAGTTCTATCCCAGCTACTGATGTTTCTGTGTTGGTTCTCCCACTCTTGGCTTGCAGCAGGTCCTTTCTCTGCTGACTGCTCCTTCCTCGGAGCATCCTGTTCAGCCTTTTGTTTTCATGGTGCGGACTGACTGAACCCAGGGCACTGCTGAATGCTTCCCTACCCCACAATCTGCTCCAGCCCCTACATGCGTTTCTGTTTTATGGTGACGTATCTTCTCTCAGGTCTCCAAAGATCTTAAGAAAAGGTTTTAAAAGATTTCTTCCCCTTCCCATTGTCTCTGCTTTATCGGAGACCCTGTTTTCTCTTCATTTAGCTTCTGCCTTTCCCTTTGCAGTTTCTCTCACATTGCTGGTGGCTTTGGATGGTGGTAGGTTGAGGTGCTGACCTCTATGACTGAGCCTGAGGTCTGTCCACTGACAGCCTTCAGGGTGAGGTGCTGGATCTGACCTCCGTCTTCACTAGAGGTGGGTGGCACGGGAGACGAATGTCCTTCCTCGCATAGTTGGGAGGCTTTTTCCCTGAAGCTTCAGCGAGAGGCCTCGTCTGACCTTTGAGGGATGTGGCTGTACCTAAGCCAAGCTGCCAGCTGTCTTGAAGCCGTGCTGGGGATTCCACACCCAGAACGCAGATGTCTGCTTATTAGTTTGAAGCACATGACTCATCACTGCCCTGTCCCCCATACACAGGTAGGCCTGATGTGCCTCCATCAGGCTTCTTTAGCTCCTTGGGCAAGAGAAGGAGGAGGAGGAGCAGGGGGAGGAGGAGGAGGAGGAGGAGGAGGAGGAGGAGGAGAAGGAGAAGGCCCCTGACCACAGAGCCCTAGCACTCTAGTAACTGGCTAGAAATTCCAGCCTATGTCTTTGCTTTCAACTCTATACACACTTCTGCCTCCTACAGTACAGAGCTCTTCTGGATTTCTACTTCCAGAGATGCAAGACTTTAGCTCTCTGCACTCTGCTAACGGAGGTTGCATGACTCCATTCGTTCCCATGTTGCCTAATTTGTTGTAAGCTAACTTCCTTTCTCAGTTATTGTCTCTTATGCTCACACAGGTCTTGGTGGTTTATGTCCTTTAAAAAATTTCATTATTATTTTACTGGACTTCCAGGAAGAAAGAGAAAGGGGGATGCGACTGTAATCCCCCATCCTTTAACTGGAAGTCTCAAATGGTCTATATCTTTTTGATGAGATATTTATATCCAAAGATATAATCTATAAGTTTGTAAGCTCTTTTTCACAAATAGAACATTCTGCCATTTTCCAAATTGTTTATGATTTTTGCCTGTTGCATAAGCTCACAAAGTTAGAAGGGCTTACAGGCAAAGAGATCAAACAGAGAAATCCCGGATTTCAATAAGAAAGCCAATTTCTGCGGAATAATTGTTCTAAGACTCCACATCCTTCCTCCAGTTTATCTGGCAGGTTAATCTAGACCAGAACACATTTGCAGGTCTAAACAGATGGGCAAGGAGGCCCCAGAGAGGAGCTTGGCTTTTAATAATAGGCCTTCCAATTTGTTTTCACAAAATGGTCTTCCTGCAGGAAACACGCTGTTACCGAGGAAAATTAAACACAGCAGACTGTGGGTTGTGTGTGTCACTGGAAGTTTAATTCAGCACGTAACTGACACTGAGTGAGACTCATATCTTGGTGCAAGAAAACTCATGAGTTGTTTGGCAATTTCCAGACTGATGGGAGAAGTAGTGCTTTATGTAAATGGCTGGGAAGCAGCTATAAAGTAAGGGGGCCAGCATCTGGATTACCAGGGAGGAGAGCACAGGGCACAAGATGTGGCAGAACGTACTCCAGGGACAGCCTGTGGGTCCTGGTTTCAATCCCCAGCACCACAAAACAAACGAGAACCCACACTGTTCCTTCAGGTGTCAGTAGGCCTGCGGGCCGTGGATAGGGAACAGGAGATGTGGGACTCTGACAGGTATGTGTGTGGGGTCATGTTCAGTGAGCATTTACTCTATACAACACTGGCCAGCGCTGTTCACTCCTCCCAATTCTTTAGGACACATCCCAGCACCACCCATTTTACAGATAAAGAAACCAAAGCCAGAGAGAGAGAAAGAGAGAGAGAGATTTTGCTTAGCCACTTATAGAACAGTCAAAGTTGAGTTTCCTTTGCCTCCAGAATCTAACAAGCTTGTTAGAGAAATAAAAAGCTCTGTTCCAGGGAGGGGATATTTTGTTTTTCATAGAAGACCAAGCCTGAAGCCTGGAGCGCCCTTGTAGAGACAGCCTGAGGTGTCTTCAGTGCACTGCAGGAAGAGGAATCATGGAATCGAGACTCTTCCAGGGCCCACTCACAAAGCCCCTCTCCTCCACTGAGCTGTACTTGGTTCCTCTGCACCCCAATCCTCAGTCTGCATAGTGCAATTGTAGCAAAAATCCTGCTGAGCCACTTTAGGGAGAACCCATTCACCCTTGATTCCCCACTCCGTATCTGATAAAACCTCCCCCCCCTACTCGGATTCCCCACCCTGGATGTTTTCTCTTAGTTCCCATTCTCCAACTCCTCACTGTGCTCGTTGGCTGTAAATCCTCAGCTGTCCCAGTTACATTTGGAGTTTAGGCCTACGGGTCCGCATAGGAGTTCTCTATATCTGTTCTGAGTAGTCTTCCTTACTGGTTCAACAAAGGTTGGGACAATTCTTTCTTAAACACCGTGGCATATCCCTTCTCCCACAGGAGGCCAGGAGGGAACCTGACCTTCCCTACGCAATTCACCTGAACTCACCTTGGCCATTACAGGCCAGAAACCAGAGGCCTGCCTCACCCCTGTCCCCCAGATCCACCTCTGTCAACATCATAGCCTCTGTGGAGAGCAGCTCTCATGTCTGGCCCTTTCCCTGCAAAGTCAGGCCTCACCCCGCCTGCCCTCAGGAACCCAGGACCTCTCGGAAGCTCAGATCTGATGGGATTACTCTTCTGCACAAAAGGGGTGCATAGTCGCCCACAGCCATGCCTAGTAGCAAACAGATCCTCTGGGTCTGCGGACCGGAGCTCCAGCCCCTGCTTCCCACCCTGCCTTCCAGCAGCCACTTGCTCGGTACTGCTCACATCCTTGTCACCCGCTCCTGGTCCCACTGCCCTTGCTGTGCCTCTCGTCACATGAGCTGGGCAGGGACTATTATTCTCTGAAGACCCACGGCCCGCTCCTCCGCAGCTCTCAGACCTGCAGTGATGCTTGTGGGGGTGTCCCTGCTCCCTGCTGCATGGCCAGACAGAACATCCTCCTCCTCATCTGTCGTACCAGCTCCTCACTTCAGGGCTCTGATGTTTATCTCACCCATGTTACAGACTGGATCGCGGGGACCCAGGGAGACAATGATTGTCATGCTGTGGGGGAGCTCAGGTCCCCCCTGGCCCACACAGCCTCCTCACTGGGACTCAGGGTGCTCCGGGGGAGCTGACCTGTTGTGAGAGGTGCCGGGTCCTCAGGAAGAAGCCAAGGAGGCAGCCCACGATGACGGACAGCACCGACAGGATGAGCAGTCCGTTCCGCCGGCACACGTCCCTGCCTCGCGCCAGGAGGGCACCCAGAACCATGGTGAACCGGGCCTGCTGGCACAGAGTGCGACACCATTCCATGCAGGAGACACCAGCCAGGGGCCCGGGGTCTGGATTGGGCTCTGGCTTCTCAGCTCACAGGTGGTCAGAGTCACTAAGCACCAGTCCCCAGCCCCACGGGCATGGCCTATGAGGCCGCCCCAGAGGGAAGCACAATCCTATTACCAGCGCATCATTAGGAGCTGGGAGAGATTAGGGCCCAGGAAATTAGAGCAGGCCACGTGGTCTGGGAGTCGGGCTCTCCAAGCCAAGTGCTCCTCGAACAGGAAAATGGACCAGACACTGGTGGGAGGAAGAAGAGGAACATTGGTTTGGTTGGTTTGATTTTTACCCCATTTCACTGCAGGAAGGAATGCGGGTCGGGCATTCAGACTCTAGTGATCACCAATAAGCAATAAGCATTTACTTCGTGGGGTCCTTGTGTTGGCGTATTCAACCCCAGCACCATGCCGCAGAGTAAGGACAGCACCATTCTGCTGAGTAAGTGAGCACAGTGCACCAGGCCTGCAAGGGTTGCTTTACCTTCTGTTATCACAGGAGCGCAGCCCATCACCCTGGTATCCCAGCTTCATGCATCCAAAGGGAGGCAGAATCCAGCAGCCAGAGCCCAGCACGGTGGCAGCAGTGCCTGGGCAGTGGAGTCAGTTTACACCCATGCCTGGGGCCTCTGTGCTATGGGGGTGTAGGCTGGAGCTCAGTGGACCTCACTGGGTTTGTCTGCTCTGTATCTTCCTCCTCAAAACCCACATAAGGATGAACAGTCTTCGGGGCTGTGCCAGGCAGGACCTTGGGAGGGTTTTCAGGGCTCTTTTTTCCTCTCCTGACAGAGGGTCTTGCTCTGTAGCCCAGGCTGGCCTCAAACTTGTGATCCACCTGTCTCAGCTTCCCGAGTCTAGGATTATAGGCACACTCTGCCACTCCTGGCTACAGCTGACTCTTATTTTTAAGGCTGATAACTCTTTGAGGAGTTCATTCAAGGCTCAGCTTGGTCACTTACTAGCTGTGCAATCCTGGACAAGCTATTTCGTCTCACTGTGCCTCAGTTTCCCCACCCATAAAATAGAGAATAACAGCATCTACTTCCTTGGGACTGGTACAAAAGCCATTGAGAGAATCCTTGTAAAGCTTCGGTGAGCTCTAGCAGGCTGCATGGGGGCAGAGCTGTTAGGATCTCCACACAGCCTTTGAAGGGAGGTTTTCTTTGTGGGCTGGCTTGTTCTCTGAACCAGAGGGAACCAACCACACAGATTTTACCAGGGCTCGGTAATTCCTTTAGGGAAGTTACCAGGGAGCAGCCAGAGGAGGCAGGGATGAAACAGGTGTGGGCGTGGAACAAAGGCTTCCTCCCCCAGACAAGGGCAAGGGACAAAGAGAGGCCAGGGCCAAGGGACGTGGACAGCAATGGAGGACGGGGGCCACAGCACAGGCCAAGCTCAGCTGGATCCCGCTTGTGACCCTGGTGGTTTGTGGCCTCGCCTGCTCCGGCTGTTCTTGCCCTTTTAGAATGACAGACACGGGCGAGGCACCCACTGGGCAGCTTCCATTCCACAGTCACCTCCCAAAGGCCCTGCTCTTCTCAGTAGCTTCGGGTGCAGGAGAGGGAGATGAGTCTGAGACGTTCTTTCCCCGACTCTGATTCTTAAAACCGAAACTTTCCTGATACACCTTCAACTCCAGCCAAGGCCTGGTTTTCCCATCCCAGGTGGCTGGATTTTTCTAGAAGGGAACACACACAGAGCAGACATTTGGATTTGGGTTTCAGTTGAGGGCCAGGCCTGGCCTTCCTCAGTGCCGTGAAGCAGAGGCGACTTCCACCCACCCCAGTGCCAATGCGCTGACTCCCAAATTGCCCCCACCAGCTGCGCTGATCTCTTTCCTGATGCTCTGACCCCGCCACCAGCCACCTGCCCGATGCCAGGCCTTCCTTTCCTTTGCCCAGCTACTGCAGCCTCCACCAGGAATCACAACTCACTGGAGCAGTGTCCTGAGTACACCGTTCCCTGCCACCTCTGCTGTTCACAGGAGCCAGCAGTGAGCCAGGCCCAGCACCTTCCCCTCAGGGAGCTTATAAGAAAACGGAGAAAGGACTATGCTTGCTGAGGTGTAAATGCCAAATGATATTTGGGAATTAAATCAAAATGTTCTTGGATTGGGAACCTTTAACAGCTCATTGTTGCTCACAGAATCAATTTTTCCTAAAGTTATTCAATTATCGTAGCAAAACTATTTTTGTAATTCCACTTAAAAATGAATTTAGGAAATGCTAGCTAAACAGAGCTGAACAGGTCCTTTACTCCAGGATGGCTCAAAGTCAGATTGCTGGAGTTAAAATCCTAGCTCTGCCACTTGCGGGCTGTGTGATCTTGGGCATATTTTCTTCCCTTTCTGGACAGTGGGAATCAGAAAACAGCACCTGTGGGAGGGCTTGGGGCCTGGGTCAGACGAGGCAATGCCCCTAGAGTGCTGTGCAAGGGCGCAGTGCTCTCGGATAGTTACACGTCCTCAGAGCAGCGTCCACAGGAGCAGCACACAGGACACTGAGCCCTGCCCTTCTAGAGAACGCTGTGCTGGGTCTGGCATCTGGGGCCGGAGCCCACGCTCCTCAGCAAGGTCCTCAGAGCTCCCTCTCTGTCCCCACCTCAGCCCTACTCCTGCGTGGTGCACTCTACCTTCCACACCAACCCACACATCCTGTCTAACCCTTCTGCCCGGGTTATTTCCTGCGCCTATGATGTCTTTCATCGTCACCAGGCTCACAGGCGGCGGGTCCCCCACTTGAAGTTTCCTTCCCCGACTACTGCACACATACACCCCTCTAGCTTCCTCCAACCAAATCAGCAACAAGGAATCAACCCTGGCTCCTTTCCCCCCTTTTTTTCAAGGTACTGGGGATTGAACCCAGGGCCTTTGTACTAAGCTACAAAACCTATCTTTTAAGATTATTTATTCTGGGACAGGATGTCACTAAATCACTAAATTGCCCGGACTGGACTCAATCCTGTGATCCGCTTGCCTCAGCCTCCCAGGGTTCTGGGATTATAGGTGTGTGCCACTATGCCAGCTTAAGTCCAGTTCCTTTTAAAATAGCTCTGAGAAGAAAATACTAGTCCATGAGGATAAAGCTCAGTCTGTTTGTGACAATGGCATTTAGAACCCCAAAGTTGGGAGGACAGGGTGTAGCTGATGTGCTGGGGGGCACCATAGGGAACAGATCGTTTCCCTGCAGCACAGCTGCAATGGCAGCAGCAGGAAGCTAGGGGTGGGGAGGCCCAAGGGGCTGGAGCTGGGCCCCGGAGCTGCTGTGGGTGGAGGAGATCAGCGGAGCTGTCAAATGGAGCCTCAGGTGCAGACCACAGGTGCACAGCCAGGCAGGCGCTGTTGTCTGTGGCGCCTTTACTGGCTTTGCAGGAGACAGCAGCTGAGGGGCCCCTGCCAGTGACTGATGATTAACCACAGCCAGGGCCGGTGGGGACCACCCTGGTGGGGGAGGCGGGTGTAGGGAGGCTTCCCGGAGGAGGGCTGTCAGTCAGACTGTAGAAAGTTGGGGAGGGCTGCTTGTCCCAAGGCTGAGTCTTCCCACTTCTACCAGACATCCCAGGGTACTGAGGCTCAGCTGTCTGAGTCTCAGCTGGGTTCCTGGTGACGACAACTCTGGCTTGCTGGCTGCTGTCCAAGACACAACAGAGGAACTTAACCTCCCCGCCCTACATGGCTCCCCCAGCTCACGCATAGCTGGGCCCTTCTGGGAAGGCTTTCTGTGGGCAGCAAAGCCTCTGCGTGTGGATTCCTGAATGCTTGAGTCATCAAGGGCTGATGTGACCTCTGCTGAGGGCCAGCCCTTCCCCACACTGGCCTTGGAGGCTCACAGCCCCTGGTCCCTAAGATGGGGAAGTCGGGGCTGAGCACCCCCAAAAGCACTTGGCTGCCATTCGTTAAACACTTACTATGTGGGTGCTCTAACATCTATCTCAGCCAACTCCCCAGAAAGGGCCAAGTGCCAGGAGCCAGGGAGTGAGTCAGCCCTTCCACAGCATCAGTGTCACGGGGCTCCAGGCCCAGGTTCTAGATCTGTGTGGTCTAATTCTGTAACACTAGTCACACTGTGTACTTAAACCTACTCCCACCCAAGGACTCAAAAGTCACACGTGACGTGTGCCTGCCTACTGGACAGTGAATTAGGGAACATTTCCACCGCCACACTGAGTTCAGACCTCAGCTTTTTCCAAGTTAGTGAAACTCCTATTTTTTTTATTTTCTTTTTTTTTTTTTTTTTTTTGTCTTTTTCTTTTTTTATTGGTACCGGGCATCGAACTCATGACTGCCTGCTTGCAAGGCAGGCGCTTATGCTGCTGAGCTAAATCCCCAGCCCCCCCCCCTTTAAAAAAATTTTTTTTTTGTCTTTTGAAACTCCTATCTTAAAACACCATGCTTTTTACATCGCTCCCCCATACTTCCAGCTAGCACTGGAGTGTTAGCTGCAGCAAAGCATGCAATTAAACCCCCAGCAGGGTCAAATCAAGTTTCCAAACTAGACCTCTTTCCAGCAGTCATGCAAAGTTAAACCAAAGGGGTGCAGCCAGAAAGGGATGATGGGCAGGGCCATCTGCATTCCTGCAGAGCTCAGAGCCAGTGGACACATGGAGACACAGTCACATATACCTATTTATGCAGCAGGAAAAGGGACATTAATGCATATACCATTTCCCTCTATGGTCTCTCAACTTATTATCATGTTTTTTATTTGCTATATAATGTCATTCTTTTTTTTTTTTTAATACTGGGGATTGATCTCATGATCTTGCACTTGCGAGGCAGGCACTTATGCCGTTGAGCTAAATCCCCAGCTATGTCATTCTTAAGTAAATAAAAGATTTAAAATATTTTTTGAGACAATGTCCCTCTATAGCCAGGCTGGCCTTGAACTTGCAGCAGTCCTCCTGCTTCGGCCTCCTGGGTGCTAGAATGAAGGCACACACCACCATGCCCAGCCCCCAAAATAAAATTTATTAGCAGAATTTTATTGTTCATCTTTATAGTGTGCAGCACCAGCTTTAAGTGAAAATATTGGTGTTAAACTCATCTGCAGAATCATCCAAATGGCACAATTTGTATTTAGTAGCTCAAATGAGCTTATGTATTTTATTTC